TAATTTGCATGCATGTTCAATATGCTAACACTTTGTCTTTTCATGTCTCTCTTCTTATCCTACGATTTTGTCAGGGAAAAGACTTGCATGATTGATGAAGACTCTCACTCTTCTGCTGGAACAGTGCCGGGCCCTGGGACTTCTCTCCCCTCATCCTCTGGTCCAGGTCTGACATCCCCACCTTACACAGCCACTCCAGTTGACCACGATTACGTCAAATGTAAAAAACCCCGTCAGCAGGCAACGCCGGACGGTACAGTCCCTGTTCTCAATACTGCCAGCACAGGGAGGTGCTCTAATCATGGGGAGTTTGATCGGGAAAGATTAATTTGCTCATTTCAAGGAGGGTGATGGGTCTGTGGTAACACGGGCAATATTGTACTTCATTAACCTCATAAATTCATGGTGATCAGAGCTTTAAATAGCAAATTCAAGGTCATCACCAGCCATTCAGACTAAATGGGAAAGAAGTAAGAAAGGAGGGGTAGTTTAAATGGTCTTTCAGTAGCATTGCACATACTTGTTAATCTTATCAGGAAACAGATCAGTTTAGTCTTGGGAAAAATGGCTGCTACTGCTTGTACCAAGTCATGGCATACTTAGAGAGAATCTGAGCAAGGAACTTTTTATGGCTGAAACCTGACAAAAAAATTAAAACAAGTAATCCCAATTTGGAATGAGGCCGGTGGTGACTATATGAATATGTTGCTTATCAGCACAAGGTGTTTTGCATGGTGGTGTAATAACTTCATCTTTTACCTTTTTCATTATTATTTACAGTGACTGGTGAACAGCTCATCTCTTTAGGTTATAAAATGATACCATAGATAATTGGTTTAGAAAGGCAAAAAGTATAGGGTAGCATAGGTGTGATATTGCCAAACTCTGGCAACATAAATAATAGGAATAAAGCTACTGTTCTGGTGAGTTCAGTCATTTGGCAGGCAGTTTTGTTTCAGCATCACTACTCTGTTGACTGACTTGGCTAGCTGTCTGTATGGATCTGTGGCCATCGGCATTCAGAAATAAAGTGCATACTACAGCTGAATGTTGATGATTTGCAACAGCCTCCTCAAGGAAGAGCTTTATATGATATAAGCTTATCTCTGTAGAGTGGGCTGCTTCCAGGCTTATCAACATTTCCAAATTAACTACACCCATAAACATTTTCTGTTAACCCTATTTTGAAACAAATAAATAAATGTCCAGAACCCGCACAGAGTGAGTTGGTTCCCCATTAGTAAATAGTTTTGTGTAAAACTGATAGAGAAATTTCCATCTCTGTCACTAAATAGAGTATTAAATTGTTTTGATCTTATTCAAGCCCTCATTTCAATCTGTAGTTGTTCATTGACTGTTTTAATGATTCATATATGCTTGAATGAGTTGTATAGCAGCTAGGCATTTGTACTGCTTTAGCTGTTTCATGACCTTTTGACACCATAAATGGGAAATATACAAAACATTTTAAACTATTCTGAAATAATATGCACTGTATTATTAAGTTATTTGTCACACTACATCTATCTGCATGGACCTTGTGGACTGCTGACATGTCATGTAAGGAGGAATATTTAGATAGACGTTTCAATGTGTCATTGGTGCTTTTGATCAAAGCAAGATATTATGGGTAGTGGCATACTGATTGTCTGAAGGAAACAAGGTGGGCGATGTAGCAAAACCAAAAGGTGCAAGTGAAAGAGACTCTACATCTGTCAGGGCTAAAATAGCAGTTCTCTGGTCTGCAAGCCTAGCGCATCATAGCTGCTGTGATGGCAATTGAACATGTCATCTTACATAAGAAGCCCAGGTAGGATGACCTCTAGGAAGACATAATGTGACTGTTACAAGTAGAACTGCAGAACATGCACCCTTCAGAATGCTTTGCAACTTGCTGGCAAAGCCAAACTAGGGATGCAATGAATCGGTGAGCCCCAGGATGTTGAAATATTTGTCTAAGGCTACTGTTGCAGATGGAAAAAGTCCTAATAGACTGAACAGTACTCAGAAGTTACCTAGCCTTGTTTAATATTACCCATACTATATGTTTGCATAAATGTGCGTGGTACTTTTCTTAAAATATGTGTTTTTTAAATAAAGTACTACTGACACAGTAAATGCAGTCTAGTTGTTGTAGAAGTATAGTGCCTGCTTTTCCATTACACTGCTTCTAAAAATAACAACTATAGGGTTTTTTTCTTTCTGCCCTTTGGAAACTTGCTATTGTAACAACTCTTCACACTTGTTGTTCATGTGTGAAACAGTTTGGTCTAATGTCAGGTACTTGCCCTATTTTATAGCTTATTAGTATTTTAATGTGCCTGCCACAACCTGGTATCAAGTCACATGACATAAGTTAAATGGCAGTATTATAAGTGTTTACAACAGGTTTGCTACAGAAAAATATCAGTTTGCCCTGCATTCCCACAAGCAAGTGTAATAATCATCTTAACAGTGACCCATAACTAAACACATTTTACCAGGATGTCTTGCCCTGTACTTTGTAGAGCAACAAATGATCTGTCCACTAGTAGGAGGAAGTAACTTCACAGCTAGGGTAGGAGCCTTTAACTGAAAATTTCTGGATTTCCATTCTTAAGCATGCACACCTGGATAGCTAAACTGTAAAGGCCAGCCATTAATTTTCAAAAGATGAAGCTGTGATGTCGATATTGTAATGTAACTGCCCCACACATTTGGGAAAAAGGGGCAGAATATTCTGAAGTATTTGCTGTAGTGGAGGACACGTAAAAACGACATTGGTTTAGAATATCATGCTTAAGACAAGCAGAGGTTTCAGGGACATGTAGTATTAGAAGGCGCTAGAGTAGCTGACACCTTGTGACCCTTTCTCCTAATGGTAGCTAGTAGCTAACTGGTGTCCTTTTTTTTTCAAGAGGAAAGAAATACAACTGAGTGGCAGCTGTTTTTTGCTGGCTGAGTACCAGCTGTTATAGGTGCACAAAACAGGCAACAGTTTCTCTCTCGGTTCTTTTTTATCTATTCATCTAGCAACATATTCCTTTTCTCCTTTGTTGTATTAGCTGCATCTTTCCTTTTCCCTCCCCTTTCGATCATTGGTTTTAAAACCCAAAAGAGAGAAAAATATGAATTTAACAGTGAATGACTTGCAGTTTAAACATCTGCTTTTTGTTGAGGGTTTTGTTTTTCAAAAGGAGTAAGCTGGGATGTTGGTATACCTTCAGCATGAAATAGGACACTTGTATTACCTATGATATCACTATGGTTAACTTAGCAGCGAGAGGGTGAGATTTATATTAGAAACAAGATCTTATAATAGTCTGACTTTGTTCAGAGTGATTAAGCCTATATGTGCAGCTCTTCAGAGAGATGGCATAAAATACAGGCTTTCAGCAGTTTTAGTTTTTAGATATTCAGCTAAGTGGTGTCACCGCTACTGATCTTAATTTAGAAAGAGACTAGAAATTAAAAGAATCTACATGAAATCAGTTCTCCAAAGAGAAATATGGTTCCTAGAAAATCAATTAAAGGTTGTGTTGTTTGCTGTGTAGCATCTGTCTTTTTAATATATTGACATTCAGCTATGTGTTTGTCAACCAATGAAATACTTTGATATTCTGCAGAAAATGCGTGGAGTGCTCATTGCTACCATAGTGCTAAAATGTATTGTTAAAGTCCTTATCGTTGTCATTCGTGCTTTCTGTGCAATTAGATGCAGTCATCCTTTCTGTTTTGTCTTTGCTTGATTGTTTTTTGCCACCAATATTGCCCGTGCTGCCCCTAACCTTAATACAAATCTTTGTTCCCAGGCATTCTCTTCCTGCTTTTACCTGTCACGGCTTGCTTTAATAATTGGCAAAAATTGCATGTTAAACTTAAAAGGCTACTTGCTTCATGCTGTGGGAGTAATCCCACTTCATAATTTGTTGGTCCTGTGATTCTGCAGATGTTTTAGTAATGTACAGTTCTTCGAGATTGGGATTCTCAGGATACTGATGAGTCAAAGGTGATCGGTGAGATTTATTGTGCATCAATTTGTCACTGATGCTAGTATTTTAATAAGTTTCAGAGAAGAATTGGGCATTTACATGAGTGACAAGAATATTGAGAGTTATAACAGATAATACCAACAAAGAGCTTTGGAAGGTTTAAAAAACCTCATGCTTTCCAGTGTGTGCTAATCCTATTAGGAATTAGCATGAGATTTTTTTGGAGGCAGACCATAGCGTATTTGCTTCCATTGTGTTCTTATATTTTATTCTCAAGGCATCTGACATTAGATAGTCTTGGAGACAAGGTACCACAGTGAATGAGCAGTGAGTGTGATCTGGCATGTTCCTGTTATTATCATTTTCTCCACTAGAGGTGCACTGATACATCAGTGCCATATTGGATTTGCACCAGCACCAATATAAGGAAAATTGACAGTATTGGCAGTTGGCTTGTTGGCTGATGTGGCTGCTAATATCACCGATAAATGCCCGCATACATGCATGCAGCCTAAGTGCATCATGCAGGTAGCCAGGAGCACAGCCTGGCAGCATCCGGCTGGTAAGTTTGTTGTGGGGGAAGGGGTGTTGGGGGTGGTGTAGATCAAGGCCCCCTGTGATGAGGGAAGGAGTGGGGCAGGGGCAGATGCTGCACATCCAGGGCAGGACAAAAGACAGAGCTGCGAGCA